GAGGTCGCGGTCAGCTGGTCACCCACGCCTGGCCGCCCGCCTGCACCCTCCAGGCTTCCTCGCCTCCCTGAAGGATGCTGCGCCGGCCCCACGCAGGACGCCAGGACAGACAGACAGGATAGGATGCCCCCACGCCGAGCTGGGCCCCAGGATCTCAGAAGCCCTTCACACCTGGCTGGGCGAGGAGGTGCACACCTGCACCCAGCACCCTGGGGGCTGAGGCAGGAGGATCCCAAGCCCAGCCCGAGAAACTTAGCTGCTTAGTGGCTGAGCACTTGCCTGGCATGCACAGGGACCATGCTACCATGACTATGATTTGTAATAATAATAATAATAAAAATAATGCTATGCTATCACGGGTGAGGCTTGGCCTCTGGCAGGTCTCTTATGAGTGGTGGGAGGGAAGAAGCAGTGGCCAGCTGCTCTGTTTGGACTGCAGGCCCAGACAAACAAGGCCACTTCGGGAGAAAGGAGATGCAGGACCCAAGGGAGGGAGAAAGGGGTTGAAATGGGGGTGCCCAGAGGAACCCTAATCCCCACCCCTCGAGAGTAAACTGCCAGGGCCACAGTGGAATCCTGATGGTGCATGCTATGGGAATTAGATACACATAAGAAACAAAACCAGAAGCCGGGCGTGGTGGTGCACGCCTGTAATCCCAGCACTCGGGAGGCTGAGGCAGGAGGATCGCTGTGAGTTCCAGAGCAGCCTGGGCTACATAGTGAGTTCCAGGTCAGTCTCAACTACATAGTGAGACCCCGTCTCAAAAAACCAAAAAAAAAAAAAAAAAAAAGGAACAAAACCTACGTGCGCCTTTCTGCCACATTGCGCAGGCTAGAATACCTATTGACAGATCATTAAATTCAGGTCTTTCTCCTGGTAAGGGGCACAATGACCACGGAGGGGCCGCCGCTCCTCCTTCAGCCACACCTGAGCCCCGGCTCTGGCCTCAAAGCCCTGCAGCACCAGAGGCGGGGCGACCTGCGCTTGGGTTTTGGGGTGCGCTTGTGACAACAGGGGAGCAGCAGCCGAGAGACCCGGCCTGACCTCCGTGCCGGTCCTCACCGCGACACCGGTCCAGGGAACACGGTCCCACCCCAGAGCCGCGTGGCCCAGGTCGGCCCAGGAGGCACAGACGGGGACAACGAAGGGGCTGCCAGCATCTGAGCCGAGCCCACCCAACTCCCTCCCCAGCACCGCCGTCCCACCACGTGCGCACGCGCACACACACACACACACACACACAGGGGTCCCGGGGACAGCCCACCTCTACGGCTGCCGGGGCGCGGGGCTGGACCTGCACGTCTGTTCCCGGCACAGGGACGAAGGCCCACCGGATGTGGATGTCCTCTCTCTTCTCTCTCATGTGGAACTCCAGCTAGGGAAAGGGAGTCACTGGGCCCGGGGTGCATGTGCCGTGCGCGTTCACTCCAACATCGCTCAGCTTCCCCTCGCCCGCTGCTTTCAGAAGGCACAGGAAGACCTCACCCTCTCAGCCCTGCGCCGGCCCCTTCCTCCGCCTTTGTACAGGGACGGCGGCCCGACCAGGACAGAGGAGGTGGGACGCGAGGCGAATGGACAGGGACCTCTGAAACAGGATCCGAATTCCCGACTGTTCATCACCTGCCACCTGACCACCCTGGGGAGCGCTGTGCGTCAGAAGCCGCCCACGCCTCCGGCCACTGCTGCAGTGTCCCCCGAGATACAGTTCTAAAACCAGCAGCCTTACTATTCCAGATACATCCTCAGGAAAGTAACAGCACTACTAAACTTTTTCTAGTTTATAAAACAATAAGGGCGCTGAGCACAGTGGCACATGCCAATAATCCCAGCACTTCGGAGGCTGAGGCAGGAGGGTCACCACATTTTTGAAGTTGGCTTGAGCTACACAGTAAGATCCTGTTTCAAAAAAAAAAAACCAACTACAGAAACAAACCAGAAACAAAAGCAAATAACATGGAAGCTCATGGAAACCTCTGCACTTGATTCCTGGCAATTAATGCAAAGGTGGGGCGTCCTCGCTGCCTCGGGAGCCCTGTGCTGGAGAGGAGGCGTCTCCCCGACTGGCTAGGTGCCCCCGCCTTACCTGCAGGTGCACCGGGGACAGCCGCACGTCACACAGCCAGCGCCCTGTGTCCCCTGAGGCGGCCGGCCCCACGCTGACCAGGAACTGCAGGGCATCCCCCACCGCTCGGCAGGCCACCACCTGGGGAGGATGGGTGACAGGTGAGACACAGGAGGCGCACAGCACGCCCGGGGCCGCCTGGCCGCACGTGGAGGGAGCCCTGGGACTCCGGGGTGTCACGGTCAGGCTCCGATACATCCCAGCTTTTCTACGACACAGCAGTGAAAATGAGCAACGGGACGCACGTCCTTCCTCCGGGCCTCTCAGGAGCCGGCTCGGTCCCGCCCAGACACAGCTGCAGGGCGCCTTCCGCCCACATCTTCGCGTAGGCACTGCCCTGCCACACTGCCCACCCTGGCTGTGAACATTTGCACAGCCACACGCAGCGGACACCTTGATATACAGTACAGGTAAGGACTTTACAGGTCACCAGAGCAGACTTGTTTCTGCCTAAATCATTTTAATGGGTCATTAGTTTTCAAACGAGTGGGAGCAATTCTAATTATGAAATATTACGTGACCGAAACGTTACACGGCCATAATGGAACAGAATTGTAAGATGAGCCCGAACATAAAATAAGTTTATTTTATTTGAGTTTTTGTTAGTTTTGGTTTTTGGAGACAGGGTCTCCCTATGTAGTTCAGGTTGACTTCAAACTCACTCTGTAGCCCAGGCCGGCCATGAACTCATGGTGATCCTCCTGCCTCGGCCCCCTGAGTGTCAGGATCACAGGTGTGTGCCACCATACCTGGATAGATCTTAATTGCATTTTTACTGTCATTTTGGCCAGATGTGGTGGGGCACGCCTGCAATCCCAGCACTGGAGAGGTTGAGGCAGGAGGATCACCATAAATTCGAGGCCATCTGAACTGTCTCAAAACAAAACAAAACCTCTAAAGACACAAAGAGGCCAGTAATTCCATCAGGAATGAATCAAACTCTAATCCTCTTACAGCATTTGGGAGTACTGATTTTTGAGGCCAACACATGGAGAACTCTCTGGCTTCTGCCACGGAATTTCTCTTCGGGAGCAGGTCTTCCGGCGGGGCCCAGGGAACAGTGCAGGCCACACAGACCTGTCACCGGGTCACTGCAGGGCTGGGCCGGGCGCCAGGAGCATCTGTCCCAAGCTGAGCCCTCAGCAGGCTGGGTGACCCTGGAGGAACAGATGCCACCATCCCAAGGGGCCGCTGGGAGCTCCCTCGGAAGGAAGAGGAAATTTCTCAATTCGCTGTGGGCTCACAGAGTTGGAAACACCGAGCGGGAAGATGACACTCCTGTCCTCCCCTCCTCCCCGCCCTCGGGAGAGAGGGATGGGACCCAGCGGAGCTGACCAGGGCCGGGGCCAAACACGGTTTGGATAAAAACAAATGCTCCGTCAACAGCACTGTCTGGAGCCAGAGGAGTGTATCAGGCTGACAACACACAGGACACAGGAAGATCAGCGTCTCCGCCAGGCAGGGCCTTTCACCGCTAACGTGAAGCGACAGGACGCAGCAGGGCTCCGGGTGTCTCGCTCGGCTGGAAACTTCTGCCCTAAGCCACTCAGCAAATGACAAAGAAGGCCAGGGTCGGAGGCACACACCTCCAACCTCAGCATGCTGGGAGGCCGAGGGTGGAAGGTCAAGCCCAGCCTGGCCAATGTGGCAAAACCCTGTTTCAAGCTAAAAACTGGGGGGCAGGGGATTTGGCTTAGTGGTTCTGCCACCTGCCTTGCAAGCACAAGGGCCTGAGTTCGATTCACAGTACCAAAAAAAAGGGGGGATGTAGCTGAGTGGTAAGACTCAGGTGGGGGTGCCTGCCACATGCACGCGCATGCACGCACACACACACACATGAAAAAACTTTACTAAGAAAACAGACAACTTTCTTAGTGTCTTGATTCAATCAAGAAATTGTGGCTTTCCTTCCTATCTGGCCTTAAAGAAAGCCTGCCCGGGCAGGTGTGGCAGTGCAGGCCTATAATCACTGGACCTGCGGCAGGAGGATCACCAGGAGCTCCAAACCAGCCAGGCCTACATAGGGAGTTCAAGGCCAGCCTGAACTACAGAAGGAGACCCTGTCTCAAACACACAACAAGAAAACCCCTCCCAGCACACCCTTCCTGGGCGCAGCCGCTGTAAGGAGTCCAGACTGTGGCATTCAGGGTCAGCCCAGCCTCTCCAGCCACCTGGAGCCCATCACAAGGCTACCAGGGAGAAGGCGGATCTGAGGGACACTCTGTCCGCCCAGGCCAGGCCCTCCCGGTTGCTGGCACCGTCCGCCCATCCTCACTGAACAGGATGGGAACGAGGCTTCATAAAAAAGTGTCCTTCTGTACAGGGGGAGTGTTTTCCTCAGCAGGCTGGCTTTCTGGCCACACAGCGGGACCAGGCCTGGTGTGGGACAGGGTCCCAGTCAGCCTCCCGCCCGCCAGATCCCGGGGGCCAACAGCAACCTCCTGCCCATGCCGCTAGGGGCCACACCTGGATCTCGACCTTCCAGACACAGGAGCTCCCCAAGAAGCCCTTCTTGTCAGGTGTGGCCGTCACACCTGTAATCCCAGCTCTCGGAAGGCTGACAGGAGGATCACGACAAATTCCAGGCCAGCCTGGAATTCATAGTGAGTTCAAGGCCACCCTGAACTAATGAGCAAGACCCTGTCTCAAAAAACCAACAAACAAGAAGCCCCCTTAGGTTTCCCAAGTGTGCGGAACTATTTACACGCAGCGTTTTAAAGTCCTTCATCCTTAGGCTGTAAGCGACTCGCTGTCAAAATGTCTGAATGGTGCTGGATTTCTGTAAAGGTAAGTCAGGCAGCAGTTAGTATCTGAAGGGCCACACAGGACTTCACAGCCAAGAGGGAGCCTTGTGGGTCCACAGTCCGACTCCTCAGAGCCGAGATCGGCTCCTCCTGGAAAGTGCCGCCTTGGGAGAGACCAACCCTAAGGCCAGCTTCACCCCTCACTCTGGAGACAGGGTCTCCCTGTGCAGCCCAGGACAGACTCAAACTCACAGTGATCCTCCTGCCTCAGCCTCCTACTTGTTGGGATTACAGGCACGCGCAACCACAACCAGTTCGAGACTTTTTCCCCCAAAGTAAACAGAGACCCCCTTGATGACACACACCATTCGAAATTAACAAAAGCCTGGCTGCAGGTCCGACACACAGCCTTCTGGAGAGGGGGGAAAGGGCACACTGTCACCTGCCCTGCCAGGGTGCCGGGAGGCCGTGCCCGGCTTTCCTCTCCTCCCAGTGTCTTGGCCGCACAGGCGACAGCTGCACACCTCGCACGTGCTCTGCTCCTAAAGCCGTGATCCCCTGTCTAGCCAGGAGCCCAAAACTCCAGGCGGAGCGGCGTCCAGGTCGAGCAGCTGCCTGCCAACGAGAAAGGCTCCTGTGCCTTCGGAGCTCACTGTCCTCTCCCCTCCCCTCCGCATCCAGTCTCTGGTTCCCGGGAGCCCGGACTGCTGGAGAGGACTTCACTTTGCCCGCACCCTGGGAGGGAAACTCCACACGACCAGAACCTCTCCGAGGTTGGCCCGACTTGCCCGGGAAGTCTGCATCACAAGGGAGTCGTTGCTGGCAGAACCAGCTGGCGGCCGCCCGGGGCACCCTGGGTGGACGCCGGGCCAGGTCCAGCCCCAGCCCGGCGACCCTCTGTATCCCTTCTCCCACTGGGGACTCCAAGGACGGCTGGGATGCAGCTTGGTCTTGCCTGCTATCCCCAGCCGAACCCAAAATGACACAAAGACAGACAAGAAGCAAGGAGGGTCTTCTGGAATGCTGTGCCACAGCAGGGCTGCTGAGAATGCTGGCGCTGAAGTGTTGTACTGGGCGATCCACAGCTTAAAATCCCGTTCAGGGTGTGTGTGTGGCTGTCTTCACCATCTCTACATGCAGAGACAGAGGAAGGGCCAAGCGTGGTTGGTACACACCTGCGACTCCCGCATTCGGGAGGCTGAGACAGGAGGGTTGCCACGAGTTCAAGGCCAGCCTGAACGACACAGCCAGACCCTGTCCCAAAAAACAGAAAGGGCGGGAGTGGATGGAATTGGACCTTCGACCCGGTGCTTCCCATCCTAGGACAAGACATCTGTCACAGCCACCACTAATGTTCTATATTCAACAAACTGAGACAGGGTGTGTGGCCTGCGGGCCGGGAAGTGCACCGCTCGGGCCCCTACTGTGACTGTGCCACGAAGGGGCCTCTGCTCCTCCGTCCCCTCCATGACTCTGTGTGGAGAGCAGGGCCTCCCCAAGGGTGAGGTGCCCACAACCCCACACCCCACAGGGCAAGGCGTCGCCAGCCGAGCCACCCAGGGGTGCCGGAGCCAGGCCCGCTCTTCCGAGCTCCAGGTGCCCGGCGGAGGCCCTTCCCTGATCCCTCGTACTCAGTGCTGACACCGGACCCCGGGGTGCCTAGAGCGGAGCTAGGACCCCAGCCCCACACAGGGTGTCGCTGTCCCAACGGCTGGGCCGGACTCTCCGACCTCCCCGCTGGGCCGCCGCCCTGAGCCCTCCTGGACGCTCCTGAGGTGCTTCTCCGCTGACAGAAGGTGAAACCTACCCTGTGGGGGACGGCAGCAAGCCGGGGGCCCAACCTCCTTTTGGGGGCCTCACGGACCGCACTCGAGGACGGGACCGTTTGGGGATTCCCACTGGAGCCAAGCAGAGCTGCTGTCTGACTGGTGACAGAGCCGTGTGAGGACCCGAGGCTCTCCCTGCACCTTTTTTATCAGTACTAGAAATTGAACCCAGGGTCTTCACACTGAACTACATCCCAACTCCCCATTTCTTTTTCATTTTTTATTTTGAGACAGGGTCTTACTAAGTTCCTTGACTGGGCTGACTCGAATTTGTGACCCTCCTGTCTCAGCCTCCCAGAGAACCAGGATTACAGGCCCCCGTCCTTCTACCCTGCCCCTTCTCAGAGTCAGGCTGCCCCAGGGCACCACCACCCACGAAACCGAGCAGCAGGTAGCCTTGCAGGAGGCCGAAGGGACCTGGACCTTGGAGGCAGGGCTTCCCACGGGCACCGCGGCCACCGGCCTCAGGGAGATGGGCGCAGGGCAGTTACACAGGCTCCCGGCACGGGGT